CTCCAGGCAGTAGGACACAGTTTTCACCTCACTTTTTGCTAGTGTTGTGTCACAGCAGTCTTTGTAAGGGTTTTGTGGTATGGGGTGCTGATACATACTTTGGCAAAGGTGAGATTAGGGTCAGCTGCAGTGTGACAGCTTGCTAAGAACTGAAACTTTCGTAACAGGAATGTACACTTTCCGACTCATAATCAAAAGTTTTCTCTGAGGATAAAGATCCTGTCACATCACCTAATGTGTAATGTGAAATATATTAAATAGCTGTCTAAAAAATATAGGATAAATAACCAATTTAGAGTAGGCTAAGGTTTGAAAATAAGATTTTTAATTGTACATGAATACTGATGTGGAAAAGTTCTGCCATGCTTCAACTGTCTGAAGATCTGGATACTAAGCACTTTTGACTTGATAATTCGTCCTAAAAAAAAAAAAAAAAAAAAAAGATGTAAAATATCGATGTGGACACTTCCAGAATCTGTATGAATTAGGCTTACAAATCAAAGTGAAAAACAGATTCCTAAATGCACAATACTGTTGATAAGATAGAGAAGAAGGATTCAGCAAGGACATTTGGAACACAGTGGGCTAAAAAGTATTCAGTCTCATTGTTGCATGATGACATAATCAGTCCTATGCATTTTGGTTTTAAGTCAGTAGTTACCTATTAAACTCATACAAAAATGTTTTACAAAGTAGGGATGACAGGTTTCAGAGAAAATACAGTGCTGCCATTTTTTTTTTTCTTTAGGATATGGAAATTTGGGTGGATTATCTGTTCAGAGGAGGTTTCCTTTATTAATTCCCCCCTCCCCTTTTTTTTTTTTTTTTTTTTTTTCCCTTTTAGACATCTGTTAACATTTCATAGAGTCTAACAGATGTTGCAGAGCGAGTCCCTTATATAATTCTTAGGGAGAAGGGAATGATAAAGAATGACATTTCCACAGTAGAATCACGACCTCTCTGAATATGACCAAAAAGATGGTTTTGCATAATTTTCAGGTATGAGATTATATTCCTGATAGGACACAATTCACAACTTTGTTGTTATCCATGGGTGAAGTGTGAGCGTGATCGTTAGAGTCTCTGCTCACACATTATCATTACACATAGAAAAATTCTCTATTTACTCACTGAAATACACACTTTTTTGGAGGCAGTATGGAATGCTCAGTTAGAAAATGTCTTTAAAACAGCTCAATTATATAAGCTTTGTTGTTTCAGCACAAGGAAGGGCTGCTTGTCATGCGATGTGGAGGGCCATTTTCATTATTTTGGCAAGAACAGGGACAGTTTTGTCCTGACGAGCTATTAGATCAATACCAGAATGTGTCACATGAAAAACCACTGATCTTTAACCCAGCTATGTACTTAACCAAGCCTAGAAATGAATAGTGAATAAGGGAAGAGCAAAGGACAGTTTACTGTCATTACAAATTACAGAAACTGTTAACATCTGCAGCAAAATGAACTCTGGGAATTACAGGTACTATCCAGTAAGTCAGTCAAGGGTACAGGGGTTTAGGAAAACTACGTATACACATAGGAGATCACCAACTGCGTATGTTGTGTGCAAATATTGTTGCAATTGAAAATTGGAACAATTGCATAAAAAGACATAGATTTTTCTGAATCTTTTCCCAGTACCTTTAATGAATCCTGAGAATGAACAACAAATGTAAGGAATGCTCCTTTAGAATAACAGATTGATAATTATCATTAAATAGAAACGTAAATACTAAATCAACAGAAATAATAAATCTATGCTCACCGTTTTATCTTTTTTTATTTTTCCCCAGGAGTAGCCTCAGGGACACTGCTGCATATACAGTTAATATAAACATTTATACTGAACTCCTAGATGTTTGAAAAACAAATACTGTAAAGATCAGTAACATTTTAAAATTATCAGTTATGGGAATTAATGCTTACAGAAAAACACCATTCTTTCTTGCCCTGCTAGTAGGATTGCATTGTCTCCCTACAGTCTTGTTAGCTCATACTAACTGAAATGCAAATTCTTTCCAACTAATTGGACCTCATTGAATGTACATGTATAGTACATAGTTATATGCATGTAGATTTTTTTTACTAAATTCCTCTGTAATTATTTTCTTGATTAATATCTAAAGCAGAGACGTGGAACAAAAATCTCTTTAAAGAGTTTACATATTATTGAACATTAAAAAGATAGTAACTGTTGCATGTTTAAACAGATTAATTAATAATACAGAATAATTGGAAGAAAAAATTAGATATTTTTTCAATGTTTAGTCATTTTGAACTATTTGTATTAACCCTTTGACTGCACTAATTAACACTTAAATGATCAGAATAATGGAATTTAGAAAAAATATGTTTATATTATATAGTACATTCTGATGGCTAGATTTTCTTACTGGCATCACATGGGCTTTCTGTAATCACCTTTCCTATGCTTTCTTGCCATATGGTGCATTTCTGTATCGGTAGTTTCAAGAGGAGAGACAAAATCAAGAATGTTACATTTTTAAAAGATTCACACAGCCGTACATGTAATGTAATTGTATTTGATAGTAAGTAATCAGTATTAGTTAAAATGAAAAGAAAAAACAAACTCAACATCACATTCGGTTCACAAAGCACTTCAAATTCTCAAAAACACAACAAGACAACTGCAACTGCACTCTGTTTTAAGTTCCATTAGAACCTGGATTCTGTAGCCACCTCTTCTATTCAGCACCCGGCTATTCCCAGGAGCTGAAAATGTAAAATAATTTCACTGATCCTTTTATCTTTCAGCACAAATGCCATTGGATAGCAGTAAAATACTTGCAGAACATATTCCTGATTAAAAATCTATTGAAAATGAGATTTTTAAAAATGCTTTCAAAAGGATTTGTTTTAAATGCTGTTAGAGCCCTTACCTTGTCTATGCCGTTTCTGATTCTCATATGAGTTAGCCAAAGGGGAGAGAAAAAATACTGTTCTACTCAGTTTGTGCCAAACTTGTATACTAACAAGTAGTTCCTGTGCTTCCCACAGATGATTCAAAGAATATTTCTGCCTCCAAAGGAATTACAGCAATAAGCAGAGTGCAGTAGATTACATAGGGAAGTACTGGGTTCTTAGCGTGAACTCTGATTATTACAATTTTTGCTAAATTTCATGTCGGTTTTGTTTCTTTTTTGTTTCTTTTTTTTACCCTCCATATTGCTATACAGTTAAAGGTGACTTCATCTGCTACTGTAGGAGGTGTACTTCTGTTCTATCTTTCCTGCAATGATTACTTTTTTCTCCTTAGCGACTACCACTTCTCACATCCCTGTTTGAAATTCAGTAAGTATTTGTTTTCTTGGTTTTATAAGCTGGCGTTATTGTGCCAAACAAAATGTTGTGTAGGTGCCATAAATTTAAGGATGACCTGAGCTGGACTGGAACTGGCAGACTAAATTTTGTTTCTTTTCTGTCATGTTAGTTAGCAGGGGGAAATATTTCTTTCTTTAAAATGTTCTGAAGCTGTGATGTAGAAGTCATACATTTGACAGTTAAATGAGAGTCCTCCTTTGATACAGTGATCTGAATGTGCTTAGATTTCATGTAAGGTTGTAGCATTCTGGCCAGGATTTCTGCTTCGGAAGACCAGATTTGGATGTATTAGCTAGTCAGCCTAATAACCCTGTACAGGCTGTATTGATTTTCTAGGAGAGAGTTTATGAACTAAATAAACTTGGAGTTGGTGTCTTAATAAACTGCTTCTCTCAGTCTGTCACATTTCGTTACTGAGCTCTGCAGTTTAAGGGAAAAAAGGGCTAATTCTGTTACAGATTGTTCACAGCAGGGTCTCCAAATTAGCCCTTTGTTTTGTAATGCCACCTTGCTTGGGCTCGCTTTGAGCACATTTCTCAGTTTTACCCTAATGAGTTGCAACACTGATAATGTGGCTGATGATCTTTCATTGATTTCACTATCACTTGCTTGTCTGGTAATTGATCCATTGCTGAGCCTCTAGTTAATTATATCGGCTTTGACATGGCCTGGTCCACCGGGAATTTCAAGTCTTGCAGAATAACAGTTTTAATAAAAGAGTCTATTACTGCAGGTGCTTGCTGCTGCATGCCAGTTGATTTTGTGTGTGCATGTGCATGTGCACGCGCGTGCATGTGTGCGTGTGTGTGTGCATGCAGGCATGTGATTTTTTCGTTCCCTGGGAGAGGAGCGGACGGCAGGACAGGAAAAAGAACGGGGTGGGGGGGGGTGGTAAGAGGTGGAGATAAAGAGAGCGAGTAAGAGCACGCAAGAGATGCAGAACGGAGAGGAGGAAGCTTGCTACTAACAGTGTCCTTAAGCCTCCCACAAATAACAGCCATTAGTGGGAAGGTCAGAAGCTGAGCATGCAGCTTGACTGAGGCACTGAGTGCCACCACTTCAGAAATGAAGAGGCTGGCAAATTTTAGAGGGAGTTTGAGGGTCTAATAGCTAGCTGTAAAGGTACAGCCACTGTTGGCACAGTTGACTTCTAAGTGTCATTCTCCCCTCCCCAGTAGAGAATATTTTCATTGACCACAGGTGGACTTAATATATTTTAAGGCAACAGTTATTGGGGTTCTTGCTTGTTTCTTCTTGGATATTGAATTTGCTGCTTTTGAGACTTTTTTTTTTTTTTTTTTTTTTTTTTTTTTTTTTTTTTGTACTTAATGGTGCTGAACTGGAGGAAAGTTTAACAGAAAAGCTTTCAAGAGATGTAGGGTCTAGAGGGGAAGGCACATTTGTGTCAACACAGTGTACATCTTCTCATCTTTTCTCATTGCACACTAATGACACAGAGCTGTCACTGAAGCTCTCTTCTGTTTCTTTTGTTGTTCCAGAGAGTGAGGTTTATTGTTATTCCTGAGTTAAGAAAAAAGCAGTGAGTGGTACATTTGTCCTCCTAAATTTGTAGATTTTATTAGAAGATGAATGTTCCTTGTGTTGGAAAGGATAGCTGTTTTTTTTTTTATTTAATACTCTGGCTTTTTTTATGAGATTGCATGAATTTTGTTTTAGATTTATGAAGTTTGCAGTTATGATTTCTTGTCTGTATGTAAAGGATGAAGTGGGTAAGAGAATTTTTCAAATAAGATTCACTTTAAAAAGCTGTTGTAATTAAAACCAGTATTGTAGTATTATTTATTCTGGTATCTAGTACTGTACCTTACGTACAGAAGAAAGATCTTAAAGGAAAAATATTGTTTCTTTTGTCTTACTTTTTAACTGTGTGGGACTGGCTTCTTTTCCTCTGTGATTTCTTTGTTCTTTACAATTTTAAAGGTGTATTGTATCTGCTTCAACCAGCTACTTAAAAAAAAAAAAAAACAAACAAACCCAAAAAACAAAAAACAAAAATACTACTTTTGATCTTTTGGGGGAGGGGAAGAAAAGGCTAGCTTTTTCATTTTTCCGTCCTTTCTTGCTCGTGATGCTGCTTAAGACACTTAGCAGTGGGCAAATGGAAGAGAGGGGTGTGAGAGATGTGACTTTCTGGTTTTATTTGAAAAGGAATAAAGGAATTAGATTGTGTCTTTTTTCCTGTCTTTGGTAAGAGTTTTATTTGGGATAGGAACTAACTATCCCACAATTCTTGTCTGACTAATATTTAGAAAAAACTAGGCCAACTTTTATGTTTTACTTCTAAGTGAATATTAACTGTATTTAAGAGTAATTGCTTGTTTGCTTGCATTTTCCTTTTTTTTTTTTTTTTTCTTTTTCTTTTTATTAAGGTTTGCTAATTGTGTTTGGTAGGCAAGTGTCAGATATTACATGCTGTACTTGACAGCATTGTTGAGGAAAAACAGAGACAGAGAGAGGGCCACAGCCTTTTCTTTCTCCCAATTCACTCTGATCATTGTGCTACTTAGAGAGAATGTGCATGTGTGTGTATCTGTGTATCTGTAGACTGAAGGGTTAGTGCAGGATGTCATTTGGTGCCTGACAGTGGAGCAGTGCAGTTGACTCTTTGCTCTGCTATCCAATGACATCCAGTGGCTGAGAGTTTGAAGCTGATGGTTGGGTCTCCTTAGTGCTGCATGCACACCTGACAGGCAGCTGTTAAACTGAGCAAAGGCGAGCTTGGGGAGTCACAATCTATGCATAAATGATAGGGGTATCTCTGCTGAAGGTGCGAAAGAAGCTCTGACCCTCTCCCCTGAATCCCCCCTTCCCAAATGAAACGCACAGTGCAGCTAGCTTCTTAACTACACTATACTCCTGCTACTGGCTGCCAAGAGGCTCAAAAAATCCACCTTCACTTTTCAGTCAGAAGAGGCAGAAGTGGATGTGAGAGACAGACACACACAGAGACACAGAGAGCGAAAGAGGGCAAGAGACTTGACTTTAAGAGACTCCTGCACTGACAACTCCATGCAGTTCGGAACAAGAACGGCAGCGACCGACTCTGGTTTCATGGGGACATGGCAGAACACTGACACTAACCTCTTATTCAGAATGTCCCAACAGGTACGTTACTTTCAATTATTTTAAAACATGGCATTTTTGTGCTCTTCCCCCCCCCCCCCCACCCTTTTCTCTTTCTTTCCATGTTTCATTTTTGTTTCATTCATCACTACATACTTAGCCTCTGAACTGTCATAACTATGTCATTGGAATGTGCATGGTTACTTCACTGCTTCCCTAAGGGCTCCCTTTTGAAACAGGAAAAAATATTAAAGCTTTAAGTAAAAGCAAAGCAAAGCATTTGTTTTAAAGTTTCCAAATAGAGCTTTGCTCGTAGTAACCGTTTTTCCTTCTTTGTTTGCTTTTGTTTTGTTCCAGTCTTTTTCTCCTCGCTCTCCCCCCGTCCCATAAATAAAAGTATCTGCTATCCCAGCAAAACTCCCTTCCTGAGTACATAAGCCCCCAAATCAAACTGATACTAAATTTAGGGGGCCCCTCAGAACGGCGTAATTGACTTCATGTGGCAGAACACAGTTTTATTCAGAGGGAAGGAGCAGCGAGCTGTCCTACTGGAGCTGCTGCCAGCGCGGAGCTGGGGGTCGTTAGAGGAGACAGTTTCAGTCCTCGGGTCCCTCTCCCGCTCCCTCTCCCTGCTCGCTCCCTCTCCTCCCCTCTCTGCGGAGCTGTGCCTTGGCGTCCTCCCCAGAGCTGCTCCTTCACCAGGGGCCGCGTTTAAGGCAGCTTGGTATGCCGGTTCTGACGGGAAAGCGAAAATGTTACTGCAAGGCCAGTAATAACTGATAATTAATCACAGGAGCCAGTGTCTCTGTACCATGCACTTGGTGATACGCGCCCTGTGTGTTGTAGCTAATCTTGCACAATTGCTTGGCTCTTCAGGGTGAAGGGAAAGGGGGGTAAAAAAGAAAAAGGAGTGGGTGGGGGAAGGAAAAAAAAAAAAAAGGAAAAAAAAGAGAGGGAGAAACTTTCAGCTTGGACGGGGCTCCAGCAGGGGAGGGAAGTTCAACCTGGAGGTTTTTAACAGGGTGACTCCCTACCAGGGGACGTTTTGCCTTTCTGAAAACTAGTTTCCAATTATGGTCTGACACTGACTGATAGTAATTGAAATATTGTGTTAGCCAAAAGAGGAGTTAGTAAATGATTTGTATATTAATATTAGACTTTTATTTAATGTTGGACATATAAGATGAATGAACTCATTTACCTGAGAGGTGTTGTACTGTAAGAAAAGAGAGGGAAAGTAATTAGATTTTTATAGTTTACAGTAACAAAGCATGCCTGAATACTGGCCATAAAACGGTCATTTAATTAAAAAAAAAACTTTAAAGCCAAGAAAAACTCCAAAGCAGACATTTAATAACCAATAGCGGTTGTCTGTGGACGACGGTTTAAGCAATATAGCTCAGGATAGGATGAAGGCATTTGAATAAGGAATATTTTGATATATCCTGTAGAGGGACCCTGATTACTGCTGATACAGTATGCTGGTATAGAATGTAATCAACATAAGGCAAATAAGCAACTCTGTTCAATTTCCTATTCTTGAAAGTAAAAAAGTTCATTTCCTGGTAGAGATGCACATTTCAAAAACACTGCTTGGCACTAGGAAGTGTGAACTACTACTGCACTGCTTACAAGCCTTATCAGCTGTATGCATGTCTGCTATACATAACATATTTGGTTATACTGATATTGAGAAATGGCATGGAAAGCAGTTATTCAAATTAGCTGCTGTATTCTTTTAGTAAAAAGATTAAATTTTTGCAGTGGAGAAAAGGTTCCTTCCATTTCGGTCACAAAAGAGTTAACATAACTAGATCCAGATAACGATCAATTGATAAATGACAATTGAACCACATAGATAGTATCAGATTGCCTGTTTAGTATTAGACCTTTTCAAACAGATTTGGCCTCTGTGGTCTCTGGAATACTAGAAAATGTTCAACACTGACAAAGAAAGGAAACAAAACTAAATAAACGAGCATCACAATGTGTAAGGGTGTCAAATAATTTGAGACAACTAGCTGATTAGACCAAGTCAAACATTTACGCACGTAAGATAGGTTGTTTAGTTTCTATTTTTTAAATAATATTTTAAATGAGCTAATTCTCGAGTACTAGCTGGATTTTGTACATTATTGAAGATGCATGGTCATGTTGTATTCTCTATGGAAGAAGTAATGTACTAAATGACTAAATGTGTGGTAGATGCTGCATCGGTGTGTATCCTTCCATTGAAATACACATACAGTAGCACTGCAAAGGTGGTAATGTCGAACAGATTTATTTCTTAAGTCTGTACTTAACGCGTTTGCGTACAGTGTTAATCTCCTTGTCATATTTTGTTTGTTTATCATGTGCTAAACATATTCAGTCCAAATATGCTTTCATCATGCTTTTAAGAGGAGGGTAAGTTATTTTGCTAAACCCATTTCTCTCCTCTTTAAGGACAATGTTTTGTTTTATATTTCTTACTTGTTAAGGCTGTTAGAACTTGCTAGCTCGCACAGACTGTAAGCACAGGCTGTGTGCAAGTGCAGCTGCAAATCTATGTCTAAGTGCCAATCTTTCTCTCTAAATCATTAAAATTTTGAATATTGTCTTCTGTTACCTATTTTCATCCATTTATTAGTTAATTATTTTCAATACATCCTCTGGAAATGTAAGTATTTTTGAAATTTTTCCTATGCTTTAAGAAAAATTGTATTCATGAGTACAAACAACATGAAGTTACAAATTGTACATAAATTATAAGCAAAGTTTGGCATTGTTTGAAAGAACTGTTTAATGAAACTTTTCCAGCTATACATAGTAGTTCTAGAGATATTTGGTTTTTAAATTTCAAAGTATAATGCTGACTTTCCACATCTTTTTTAGAAGCAGACAAACCCCAAATGCCATCACTTTTCCTTGAAGTTATAACTTAATCTCAAGCAGGTTTTTAGTACAAAGATTGGAGCATGGCAAGAAGCATGATTTAGAACATAACAAAATCTTTCTATCCCTCCCTTCTCTTACCTCTCAACTCACACTGCACTGCTATTTGCATACTATAGGAATGAATAACTTTTTTCAGAATAAAAGGAAAACCTACTTCATTATGACAAAGAATTGTATGTGTCTTAGAAAAATTAGGATTGGACAGGTTTTGGCTATTAATAGCATGTATGATGGTATTTATTTTTTGATTATTTTCTTAGAGAGTGGGACCGCAAGAAAACAGCGTTTCCCCATTATAGAGCAAATTTAGATTTTGGTGGAGTGAGATGAGAAGAGGAATAGTCTCATAAGTTACCTGTGAGAAGTTTATGACATAGTCACTTGAATGCATTGTTTTGCCTATGCACCTTTTGTCCACGTAAAAGTGTGTGATTCGCTTCAAAGGGGTCATCCCATTCTGTATACAGAAGAAAGTCTGATAACCTCAAAGGGCATAAATCTTAACTTTTAGAAAGGAGTGCTTCTTTGGGTCACTTTGATCCGTGACAGGTCGAGAATGAGCAGAAACCCTTGGGTTCTCTTCCATGCTCATTTGGTTAAGTCCAGGGCACCCACTGCCCATTCTAGTTCTGGCAAGGAGTTGCTAACAACAGAAAAGAAGGTCTGGATTTGATTGATTGAAAAAAGCAGGCTTTTGTGATTGTCTGCTTTCATAAATGTTTTGTGCATTTGTCAGAATAAGAAATGTCGTTTTTCTTCATCTAGTTACCTTAAGGGCTGTAATGTTCTGAAATACTTTTAAGTCATTTCAGAAATGAGACCGTAAGAGAAATGGCTGTAACCCACAGTGACACAAAATGCCAGAGCCATGTACCTTTTTGTTAAGAAAGAAGTATGTTTAATCTGTTTAAGATAAATAGGTAATAGCCTTTCCAGAAGCTTTTTTCAATGTGACAGTGAAAAAGCAGTATATCAGAATTATAAATGGATCTGTGCATCATTATATAGTAATTTAGGATTCACTCAATGATGTAACAAAATTAACAACATAATTTCATTGTGTAACTGTATCTTATTAAAGAACAACTGTCTGACATTCTCTTACAGTTGCTTTATTTAACTTCATGCAAATATTATTAGTAGTGACATTTCTCTATTGTACATTAGATTCTCTCATTAGCATGATGTGTTAGTTATCACCAGAGAAATCACTTCTAGATAGGTGAGCGGGAAGCCAAGAAAACTAAAAATTAAATCAATGATGTATATTAATATAGACGCGCCTGTTCATGAGAGATATGGTACAGTAAATTTAACTTTTTTTCCTTGCATAAATGCATGCTTATTCCAAGGAAATAGAAATAATACTTACAATATGTGGAGTATGCATTTATATTGCTAGAAATATTAAACTGTATACAATGTGCACTACCTGTTTTGAGCTGTACTTGTATTTTTCAGTCTCATAGTTCCTAACATTGATGTAGACCTAGGCACATAAACTGTTTATTGAACCAGTATTTAAAAATAGGAGAAATAGGAGTGTAGTGTAATATCTAATGGATTGAAGGTGAAAGCTTTTTAAAGGTTTCTGGGTTGCTGGTCATAATGGTTGTATGCAATTTTAATATTTATTAAGTAATTAACTGTTTTACTGTAGCATATAACTATTCTTTTAATATAAGTGTACATGCAAAAAGAGTTCAAACTTAATTTGACAACAGGCTATAATTCCATACACTGATTTATTAGGAACATTCTGGGAGGAAGATTAACATTGCTAAAATGCATTTTGTAGTTTACGGTAGTTAACAATCACCTTTGTCAGTAAGTGTTAGCAAACATAATAATTTATATAAATATATATATATTTTATCACACCATTTTAAAGATTAGCTGACCCCAGGTGGGATGTTTTTTTTTTGTTGCTGTTCATGAGTAAGTTCATGTGCTAGTATGAATTCAGAAGCTTTATCAGGTTACGTTGTCTCATTTCAGACACTTGCTTTAATTTTATTGGGTATTTTGGTAAAACATGGTTTATATAATAGCTCATGACCTTTTAGTAAATTAAAAGTATTTACATCAAGAATTTTGTTCTGCTT